ACCTACATTTATATTACGTAATCTATGGAATTACCGCTGACCTATTCATTGCTTTACAATTTTCGACTGCGTATCCGCGTATCCAGTGAACTAGTGGCTACATCATTTCCATGACTAGTGGACGGGTATTCTGCAATTTAGCCCGAGAAGGCACGGAAATTGGTGCGAATTCACTATAAAGGCTAGAGTGGAAAGTATGACTCGTGAATGGAGGCTATTCGGTGTTGAGCAAGAATCATATTTCCCCTTTGTGCGACAAGAGAGAATGCAAATACCTGACGCAGACTCCCTGGAGCAACGAGCGGAATCATTTAAACATAAACTGTATACCGAAGTTAAAAGGAAGCTTTATTCCGGTTGACTTACTTGCTTATATACAATACACAAACTCGGACGATTTGACGGATTTGTCCATCGAAATTTCTGCGCCGTTTTCGTTTATAGCCGCCGCCGCTACCTGCACAGCGACAGCGAGAATACGGACAAAATATACCCCAACTTCCAGGCCATTTTGACGAGCCTAAACTCGATATTTCATGAAACAATTTTCTATCAGAATGTTGCCAATTTCACGCTCTATTCAAATTTGGCGGAAACTATAGTCATAAACCTGCGCAGTTCATGCTCATGTCCAATCTCCGAGTCTACGCAGCGCGCATAATAATAAACGTTAGTAAAATATTGCGCAATTGATCCAAAACAACTCAAAAATGACGAGCTTTAATTAACTCCAATTGCCGTAAAAATATATTCAAAACACGACCCATAACCTATATTTTAATATTCCAATGGAAACTCATGAGTAGCTGGCATGCAGAAACGGCAAGAAGCAAAAAACTACCAAATTTCCTCTTATATTGCGACAAATCTAGAGAAATATGATCCTGCGTAATACGAGTAGACTTTTTGTTCAGCAAAAAGCCAAGTGTAACAACTGCCCCCAAAACACGTTATGCAAATATAAAACTTCAAAACTGCTAAAAAAATAAAATCAAGCTAATTTTAAAATAAATAACTATTGTCCCCAGTTCACTTACTAGAAATGTAAAGTGTGTCTACCTCGTGTTCCGCAAGCACAGATGACCGTTTCCTATACACTCAGCTTGACTGATTTTGCAGCTCAGTAAATACCCTTGTGTCTATATACCCTTTGGCGGCTTATTATTTTGCCGGATAAATACCGATATTACTACGTAACTATATTCTAGTTACGTAACAAATGTTTTAGAATTGAAGGCAAAATACCAATGCAAAGCAATGCAAAGAGTTCTTGGAGAGGTTTTTGTGAGATGCCATGGGTACCACAACAATACCCCGTGAAATTTATTAGTCTATCAATCTTGGCCCTTGGTGGTTTTGATAAGGACTCGTGCGGTTTCAAAGACATGCTCTAGGATATTACGTAAACAAGAAACCTGTGAAATACTTGATCCGGAAGATTACATTAATCTAGATCAAGACCTGGTTTTATAAACATCTAAATTGAGATTTATCATCATTAAATTGTGTGGCGGTGCCCTTTTTGGTCTAATGTGGTCCGTGTAAATTTGCAACCTAAAGAATAGGCAGGGCCGTAGCTACACCGCTTAAATGGAGGAGGAATATATCAATATATTAATGTTTACATATCATAGGAACAGTAGCGTATACAAATAATCTATAGAAATATTTCTAATTGTGAAAATAATTGAACACATATAGCAACAACATGTAGTATTTTTGTTTTGCTAAGTTACTAAGTGTTATTGGGAATATTATAATCTTTAAAGAAGCAGATACTCTAGTCGCATGCGTGAATTGGCATGCACTCCTAGACGAAGTTCGAACTGTTCACTTGTCAAAACACTCAAAAGTTGATATAGCATTGACATATAAGCGAATATATGTACATCGCCACAATGAAATTAGAAGTATCAGGGCTTTATATATTTTCTATAGTATATTTCACAACTTTTTAGTGGGCCTTTATTGTAATACACACTTTCATAACTCAGCGGTTTATTAGAATTTATCTTTTCCCAGTCTATACTCTTATTCTATAATGCACATTCAGTATATAGATTGCTGGAAAAACGTACTGCTGAACGTAGCTACTACTTTTGCTCTCATTTACTCTATTTTTCTCCCTCCTGATTTTGAATGAAAAAATTCCTTGATTCTCATCTTCGCCTGATCGTATTTTAAAGCCCGCGTGCGTATACAGTTATTTTTTTATAGATATATAAGTGCCGCCCCACAGAAAATCTCCCGAAAACTTTATACATATATTTTACTTAATATATTCGATCAGTACAATAATTTCGGGTTGGCATTTTAGGGTGTGAAGGGAATGTGTCTTAGCTAATTATTCCTGCTCTATTTATACCGACGTTCGAATGACATTTGCAGTATCTCTCAACACTGATCGCGTTAGCCAGACTAGGAACACAATCATATTTTACAGGAATTGAGAATTCATATGACAGAGAATTTGGCCTCTGCCAATATCGCCGAGTAATGATCAGAATGCTATTATATTGTCTTTTTATTGCTTTGAAAAATCAATATACAATTTTTGCAGCATGGTATAACTATGCGTACACAAATAAGGCTTATAAAAAAATCGATTGAGGGGAGGTTAAGGTTTCTATTTTATTGCATGGCTTCAAAGTTTTTTTGTAACAAACTAGAAGATTGGAAGCAATTGTTTTCTTTTCACTTGGTAACCCTAAGTGGATGTTTTCTATAAAAAACAAGACGCCTGTTCTGGCGTTAACTCCGGCGCACGTGCCAGTCTTCAATATAGAGCTTCTGAACATAAACAATACAGTTCATATTCGCATTTAGATGCCTTGCGAACCTAAATGTTCGATCGCGAAATTCAAAAGGACATCGTACTTTAAAAAGTATAGAAGTTCAATTGTTCAAAAATGTAAATAAACCGCATGATATATTCGCTTTGTCTTACACTTTGCCTTTGGAATTCGCGCTTATATAGTTATATTAAATCTTCAATCCTGTGCAAACTACGACGTTCAACGCGCCCATACACGACCACATCATCTTGTTAAACGGCGAAATAGCAGCGATATTATTAAAATAGGACCAAAATCTACATGTATTAAATATATTCTTACCCCAATTCAATCTAAACTTAGTCGAAAACCATGAAAAGAACGGTTTATTTGTTGCTCTTGGAGGAATTGCCGTATCATCGCGCATCGGAAAATTAGCCAAAGCTGTGCACCACAACTCTTGGCAGATAAGACTGGGACGTAGATAAATACGGTTACATACACATGCTAAATACAACGTTTCGCGCCATTCAGATTTGCGACGACAAAAATAAAAAGAAAACCGGGGCGAATTTTCAACTCCGTCGCTGACGCCGGAGTAATTATATCCAATCACGTTGGACGGGAACGATATTCAGGAGAATTTTCAAATATGGACCATGATACAACTATTAATTTATTTCACGACAAATCGTTTCGATAAGCAAAGACACAGCATTGACATCGTATCCGCATCTTGATCTTAGCTGGTGGTCATCAAAAATGAATTGGCTTTTGTTTCTTGTGGTTCTCTTCTCCGTCACTCATGCAAAAGGTGTGCTAAAATATTAAATCTCGGGAATTCTAAATCTTTACAAAACAAAAACAGCTTAATATACTTGATATTACTTCAATTTTAGGAGTAATGAAAAGCGCATCAATTCATCCATATTTCGCGAGTAAAGCGCCGATGAGTATGTTCCTTTTTTAATACCTTTATTCAAAAATATACCGTATCCCTTAGCTTTACTTTAGCGGACTATAACACCAATACCAGTGTTAGTTGTAGCAACCAATACCAGTGTAATGTTATATTTTTTGTTATACTTTAGTCTTTTCGGTGTCATTAATTAATTGATCATTACTGTGCAGAAAGAGTGCTCGAACTGTTTCTGCAAATGCTATAGCCCCCCCCCTTCGCTATAGCCCCCCCCCTTCGCTGGTATTCCCTGCATGTGCATTTCTCTAATTAATGTTCAGAATTGTCCAGTATACCATTTTTCATCTCCTCACTTTAGAATTCAAAACCGATTGTAACAAATGTGTCCACACTTGTTTCTTGAATTACCATTGTAAAATGTGTTTGGAAACATCTTGTGTTGAGGAGAAATGTCTTTAATGTCTTTAAGGGGGTTAGTATTTGTTTGTAGCCAGGGCCGTAACTAGAACGATAATTGGGGGGTGTTTATTCATATATTCAGTTTTGCCCAACGGATTTCTATTGCAAGCTATTTTGCACTTACAAAAGAAACCCGTCGGGCAGAACTGAATATATGAAAAACACACACCCCCAATTATCGTTCTAGTTACGGCCCTGTTTGTAGCCAAGTCTAGTCGTCATGAAAATCAATATTTTGAACACGATGTTTTTGGACATTTTCAGTCTCAATCATGAGTTAATCAATCATACTATGAATTTCTTCCAGTGTGATAAAACGAGTGATTGCAAAAGTGCCGTTTATTGAACAGAACAAAAGTTGTCTCGCAGATAAACCACGTTAAATACTCTTTTTTATACTCTTTTGATACTAAAATTTGATATGAATGTAATCGTAGTCTACGATAGGTTGGGATATTCTATTGGCGCCAAATCAAGAGAATATTAACATTTTCGGTTATTTTTTGCTTAAAATTTCACCATTTTTGTGATGAAATATAAAAAGAAAGGCAATTTTTGCCAGATGAAAAAATATTGTTGAAAAAATGTTATGAGAGATTGCAATTTGTCTCAATAGTTCAAAAACAGAGACTGGCAAAAAAAGAAAAAAATTATGATCGAAAGAGCAGAAAGAAATATCTAACAATATGTAGATAATTTGTAAATATTTGCCACATGTGTGCTGCAAATGAGTTGCAAATTTTATTGGAAAATGCGCCAATCTTCTTTGCGGCAAAAAAATCATGCAAAAGAAAGCTACAAAGAAATTTTTTTTTAAAAAATTTTATTGGAATCCCAATGCATGCAAAATTTATGAATTATGTAAATTTCCATCAATGATTTCCAGGAGAAAATAAAAGAATGGATGAAAATGACTTTAAGATACACATGCAGCATGCGTTTTACAGGTGTTGTGGAACCAAGCTAGTGGTCTTTAACATGTCAAGAATCAAGCCAGTGGTCTTCGACATGTCGAGAACCAAGCCAGTGGGCTAGTGGTCTTCGACATGTAGAGAACCAAGCTAGTGGGCTAGTGGTCTTCGACATGTCGAGAACCAAGCCAGTGGGCTAGTGGTCTTCGACATGTCGAGAACCAAGCTAGTGGGCTAGTGGTCTTCGACATGTCGAGAACCAAGCTAGTGGGCTAGTGGTCTTCGACAAGTCGAGAACCAAGCTAGTGGTCTTTGACATGTCGAGAACTAATGTTACTGGTCCTTGACATGTCGAGAACCCAGTGGTCTTAACAAAGCTAAACCAAATAACCAAATATATTAACACTTAACTTTATAAATCCCAACTTTATAAATCCCAAATTAATTAACTATTTCTAAATAGACCCCAGTCTTTGTCTAATAAGTCTTAGTTTCAGTGCTGAATTATCTAAGACAATGCACTTCAACCCTAGTTTAGAACAGGCCATGGCACATGACCCTGCACCACTACATGCATCAACAATGTACAATGATTTATCGTGGCAAAAAACCTTGATCAGCTCACAATACAGCTGGATGGGCTTTTGTCTTGTGTATTTTATACCACTATCCACTTCTTTTGCCAAAGGCTCTCCATCAACTCTAAATATATTTGTTGCGGCCTCCACTTCAATTGAACTACTTCCACTTACAATGAATGGGAAGATCACTTTTTTGAGTTTATCCTTCCCTATTATTAAAAAGAAGAAATATTAATGTATTACTAGTTCACAATCAAATTTTCAGCCAAGCAGGGCCTGAAAAAAAAAAATATATAGATACCTTTTAAGTTTGGTAAGGAATTTTCAAAGTATGTTATATGCCACTCGAGGTTCATGCTTTTTAGAACAATAGATGTTGCTTGTATCTGCTGCACCATGAGATCCTCATTTTGTATAGTTGGAAATAGAATAAATCTGAAGTTGTCAACACCATTTCTTAGATTTACACTTTTCATGAGACGGGTAAAAACTCCAATATTATCAGCAGTCCATTTCTAAGTAAAAACAAATCATAAATTACATATATATCCATAGCTTTGTTTAACAGGAGAAATGAATGCAGTTACAGTAGAATCATACAATGATGTGTTGAAAAATTTACTTATAACTCAACCCATTACCAGCCAACCTTGCATAGACATAAGCAAAGAATGAGCAACCTACTAACCTTTGGTAAGTCTGTAAACACAAGACTTGCTCCATTAAAGGTTGGAACACTCTCAGCCAATGATGAATGGGTTAACTCAGTGAGGCAATCCATCAGAATAATCTTTATTTTTTCATCTTCACAACCTGGGCTTTGTGCTGACTGTTCTGCCAAAGCTCTTCGAACAAATTGTCGGAAGGTTTCCTTTGGTACACCACGAACAATGCTTCCCCGAAAACCCTGAAGAACCTCTTCAGATGTGTAATTAGGATATCTATAGAGGAATATAAACATAAAATGTTTTGTTAACTTAAATACAAAAAAATTACCAATCATACCATAATGATTCTAGATTTTAAATTTAATTTTTATAAATCATGGTTAGAATAGGCTTGTATAAGTACCTCCTAAATTTTGCACTCAGAAAAATTTGGTGAGCTAGCAAAATCACCAGAATGACAAGAAATATTTTCAAAGTAATATCATTTAAAATTACCTTTCTTTTGCCTCGGTCCAGGAAATGCAATCTGCTTGCTTTACAAAGTAGTTTTGTAAAGCTCGCATTTCTTTCATTCTGGTGATCTCTGACTCCATTTCTGGCAAAGAGAACTCTTTTTCCATAAGTTTTTGGAGCAGGTTAAGAATTTCATCTTGAGTTAGATCACCTCTCAAACATTTTAACTTGATATAAGGAAAATCCAGCTTGCATGAAAATGCAGTGCCTTCTTTCAAAGCTTTTTTTGATGCCCTCTGCTTTTTCAATTCCATTTTCCCATACATCTCCATGATATTCAGCAGAGAATCATAAACAGCATCATTCAAATCACTTGCTGCAAAAAAAACATTGGAAAGAGCCGTTTCCTAAAAAAAATATAAATCATAATCAGGAAATGTTTATTCTTGTATTGTTCATAAAATTATTTAACTTAAATTTGTGTATTAATATACAACTGTGTTCAGTGAGCTATAGCAGTCAGTCATACATGGAACAAACATATACATGCACCTGTGTAAGAGTATACAACTTTAAAATATACAACAAACCTTCTTCGTTAATTTACCTACTTTTAAGAATTGTTATACTGTAAGATAAATTCAATTGTAACTTACACTTTCACCAATAATGGTTGACATAAGGTTTCTCCAATCTGGACACTTCTTTCCACCAAATTGTTGCAGAAGTAGGTTCTTGCACAATGTGACCTGTTAACATACGTATCCCTTATATCAGTTTCAAATAAAATTTTCACCCATCAATTTGTGCCCCAAAGTTGATGTGGCATGGCTAAAGGTTTAACTCTACCTTTTCGACAAATAACAAATACTGTGTAATTAAACATGGAGGTAGATTTAGACCCCTTTGAATGTAGTTTCTACATTCTTTACAACTACTAAATATTTAAGTTCTTTGTTTATATTTACTCTGCATTGAGTGAGGGCATAGGTACATTTTACTCATACTCACTTTGTCACCTGTTGTGAGTTTATGGTGAACTGAGTCATCCCTGTTGTGCATCTGGGCCAATCTTAAGGCATGTTCGGGTAACATTTCTAAGTATTAAAAAATAAAATAATTGTCATAAGCGATATGTAATGACGATTGCTTGTGTTTTCAAGGTAGAATTTATAATAATTTTCTATTTAAGTCCATAAACAAATATTACCGACAGAACGTCAAAGGTTTTTGACATACCAGTGTAAAGCTGGACCTGCAACAAGAGCGGAGACATTTCTCCCAGTTTTCCCTCTTTCTCTAACTGGGAAAACGCCTCTCTTCTGTGGTTTCCACCAATAACTTCTAAGGTATACCCATCAAGTTTAGACTCGTCAAATTCAGATTTCGATTTTGCATTCTTCACGATCGCAATCATTGGCTTTACAAAATTGGTTGGCCTTTCCAGTATCTCGAACTTCAGTTTGTTCACAAAACCTGGATCCAGTGGTCTCACCAGAAACTCTTTTCTTGGCTGAACAAGCGTATGACTGAGAACTTTGTAGACATCTATCAAAATTGGAGTGTTTATAGTTTTAAATAATATATCCTTGCGCCAGCCTCGTACCCAGGCGCTTTATTGGAAAACATAAACGCTGCATTCAGCGTAATATAGAGATCTGTGGCTAATATGTGCGAGCGCGCAGGGGTAACGCAGTCTTTACGTTTTCCAATAAAGCGATTGGGTAAAAGGCTGTCCTTGCGCGCTCTTTTCTGGTAAACTATATCCACCGGCGAAACATTTAGATACTTTTTAAGTCGAAAGCGTACTGGTTAAAAAACGACAGAACTGTGTAATACTTACCTTCTCTTATTAAATTTGTTTCCTTTAGGCTTGCGGAGAAAATCTTTGTCATTCTCGCGTTCACTCTTCTTTGAGGCTTCAGCGGTGTTTTTCTTTTGTATTTTTACTGCCGAAGGAAGGGGATCGACGCTGGGATATTCCTTAGGCGCAGCTCGTTTTGACGCCACAGGCACTGGGGTGGCTGTAGATGGGGGGGTTAGGTTGATAGTCTCGTTGACATGGATTTGATCATCCTCAGACTCCCAGCCTTCTTCCGGCAAAGGATCACTCTCTTTTCCAGACAGAACTATTTTGAAGCGTTCAGCCCAAGATTTAGTTGACTTTGAAAAGGGTGCGAAGGTTCGTGAAAACTCGTTGCCAGTAAAATCAAATAGCTGCAGGTTGAAGAGCAATGGCTCATCTTTACCATTAAACAAAATCTAAAAAAGTGCGTATTATAGTAAGTGACCAAATGTTGTTTGGATAGGTATCAAAATTAATTTTGATTTGGCAGCAAAGTGGTGTCTGATGGCCGCCGTATCCGGATTTAACACTTTTTTTCAAAAAGGGCATATGCATAACTTAGTTTGAACGATTTATTAATCTGAGCCATCACAGAAACACAGGCGCCAATTATTGACGACATTTTGTCAAGCGCTCTCAACATGCGCTTTCGAATTTCGTGCGACAAGAACAACATGCGCTTTGGTAACATAATTCAGTGTAATAATATAATATGTGACAAAAGACTCTTCACGCCGTGGGAGACCCACAATATGGCAATCACAAGATACACAATCATCAACGTTTCTTTACAAATGCTATATTGTAATCCTCCTTACAACCTTCGACTTAAATTTCTGATATTAGTCATACAATGTCCTAATTTCAACAATATACTCTGAAAAAGAAGGCCCTAAGCGTCGGATTTCACCTAACAGAAACGCTTGCTTACCTTTTCTCTCTAAACTCCTTACACGCCTAAGGCCTTGTTACGATAAAACGGTGTTTTTTTCTGGTATTTGAACATGATTTGAAAAAAAACAAAAGCAACTCACCTTTAGTCTATCTGGTTTGGTGCTACATGGATGCACAGCAACTATTTCATTTAACATACTTCCATTGGATTTCGCACGACCACTCTTTCTCAAAATATATATCTTTCCATCGTCTGAATCTATCCACCACTTAGCCTTGTCTGATCGTTCCCGTGGGGAAGTTTTGGTTTTGCTAGTAGAGGTCATGCTAAATAATTCGATTTCGCTTTAGCATTCACTGTTGTTCAGGTGAACAGGATATTCGTTTAACCACGAAAACCGATTGCAAGCTCGTGAAATCTGATACAACGAAACTATATGTGAAACAATCGAGAGCCAATCACAATAGTTTGCCGTAGAAGTGTTAAAGACAGCGGTAAAGTTTGGCAGTAATTTGATCCTTAGGCTTTACCCTGGGCGCATCACAAAGGCAGAAGCTAGGACATAACATGTTGTTTTCAAAGAGTCAAAAGGTTATCCTGTAATGGATGAGATAAATACAAGTGATTTGACAGGAGATGACCTTACACCAACAAGTAGTCCTTGTTTGGCACTGAGTGATCGTTTCGCAATACCATCTAGTGATTTGGAAGAACTTCCGACAGAAACAGATAAATCCGACGCGCTCAGTATAACTAGTACTCCTATTAGTAAAGACACTGAATCTGTAAACAGTTTAATCAATTGGTCTTCAAGTGCGACGACAACGTCGAGATTCTCGTCAGAGCTAGGATTCGACCACGATTCCGACAGCGACTTAGGATGTTTTCCTATATCATATTCAAGCAGCGAGGATGAGAGAGATGGTAAGTGACTTCAAGCACTTTATCAATAATGTAGGATAATTTAAGGAATTTAAACTGTTGAACTGTTTTGCCAAATTCAAAATCCCAATTTTCATATGAAAGGGAAGTGCTTGGCGCGCACACTGTTTGCAAATTTTTTATTGTGTGCGAAATTATTCAACATGTTGAATATACAGCACTGAAGGCACGCGTGCCGAAAATCACAGAACATGACACCGCATACTGAAGGAGACAGCTTACGGCAATAGCCACGAGTGAAGCTCAACTTGTGTACCCTTGGCTTTCTTTTCTTATTTTTTTAACTTCAATTTAAATGTTCAAATAAATTTAAGTTATGCGATTTTAAAAAATATTTCTTTAAAATGTAAATGTTGTTTGTAGCTAAATAAAATACTTTTTACCGTAGAATATGATGATAATAACATGGGTCGAGCCACTCTAGCGGATAAGGTAACAGAGCAGCAATCCCTGGAACTCAGAGGTACATTATTCTTTGTGAATTTACCACGACAAAAAGCAAATGTTGTTCAGATTGTCGAAAGAGCACTGTGTGAAGGAGGTGCTACTCTTAGCTACTTTTTAAACAAGAAAGTCACGCACATTGTAACTGACGATCAAATCAACAATAAGAAATTTGAAAAGCTTCAGCTGTTACAGAAGGTTAACCAAAATACACGCTCAATGGTGATGATCCGGAAAAGTCATGAGCAGTTAGACAATATGCCATTAAACACATTATCCGGATTAGAGCAGGCATCACGCTTAGGAATTAAAATTATTTGCTTGTCAGACTTTTTAAAAGATCGCAATGTTATGAACGTTCTAATGAAAGCTAAGGAAAAAAATAGTTATGTTAAAAAACAACGATATGTTAAGAGATGGATAAGGACTGTTATTTATTGAGTACGTATGGTATAAAAAAATGTTAATAACAAACGTATTTTTCGGAGGTTATTAACTTTGCAATTAAATTTAATCATTAAACCTTGGATGAAGTATATAACTTGAAATTAAAATGAAAGTTACTTTACTTAGCTACCTTATATATAGTTATATAATAAAAAACTTTTATAGCGCGTCTTCTACAGATATCCATAAGCGCATACCATAATGCATGCAAGTACATGTTGTTCAAGTTTTGTATTGCTGCGATCTTGTGATTTATTTGTTCATTCTATGGGATCAGTTACGCTTGATTCTCTGTATTTCAAAGCAAGGTGCTTGCGAAAAGTTGATCGCCCAACACTTTGCCCTGAAACGGAATTCGCCTTTACTTTAGCCTTAGCACCGCGACATTGTATATTCGTACAGAGAGGAATACGCATGGCTACTAGCTAGCCTTTTATGCATTCTACACGTTATAACGTAATAACGACAAACTTTGTTTAAACAGACAGACTTAACTGCTTGTATATTGCTAAATTTCTTTACATAATATCCTTCAGTGACACGTAACACAACAGAAGAAGTTAGAAAATCTAAGCAAACGAAGCTTTCCATTGATGAAGGTATGGTAACAGACTAATTTAGGAGTATAATTCTTTTCTGTTTTCCATCCCAGTGTAGAATGCATATGCTACAATGCTACGGCGACTAATACTAAACCGTATATTCACCCTTTTTTAATTTCAGTACGAACATTTTCTTGTTGTACTGAAAAATGCACTTGGAGTGTTGAATATGCCGTCCTAATCTTAGCAAGGTCATCTTTTAATAACCTGTCTAATAAGGGAAAGAACCAGTGGGTTCTGAATTACATAATCGATCATCAGAATAAAAGGTAAACTATACTACTACTAAATATATTTAGTCCAACTAACAACCTAATTTTAACTCAAAATTATGGGCTAAAGGGTTGTTTAATGGCTATGTGATTTTGGTCGTTCTCATATATCCCCAAAAATGACAGCAAGAGCGAGCGATCGAGACTTGCACGGACGATTTTCTTGCACGGATAAGAGGATTTGGAAAAACAAAATATGTAAAATATGTAACTTATTTCGACATCACACAACAATAGTGTTTAACAACAAGGAATATATATGACTGATTATAAATGTGGTAATTCCAGCTATATGCCAAATTAAGATCTAGGCAAGAACAAAATTCATCACAAAAGCTAGAAAGAGAGTGCCAAAATTTGTAAAATTACACTTCTATAAATTAAATTACAGATTAATGTAATTCAATTATAATAACTTGTAGGTACACCACGTAAGTATTAAATACTGCAAAGCTTTCGGTCCGTTAACCCGGACCTTCATCAGTGCAATTACTTGAATACACGTTTGCGCGTCACTTAAATATCATGTTAGTCGTGATTAGTTTGCTCGCGCTATTAATTAAACGGTTTCATTTAATTAAGTTCTAACTAATGCGCGCGCCCTAGACAAGTATTTGACTAAGAGACACCGAAAAGAGCACGCCACGTACTATTAAGTGGCTTTCCCTCTTGGACGATAGTTTGATGTTTATAAATTTCAATAGATTCTCTCATTTTACGAGAGACAGTAAACTTATCGTTTGCTAAAATGGTAGCATCGTTCCATTTAATGCGATGATCATAAGTCCATGCATGGTGAGCTACTGCAGACTTATCCAGTTTACCTTTCTCGCAGTTCGTCTTATGTTCTTTAAGACGTATTGAGAGATTTCTACCGGTCTCTCCAATGTAAACCAAACCACATTCACATGGAATGCGGTACACACCAGGTTTCTGTTGTTCATCGACGCCATCCTTGTGTGTGTAAAGAGCGCGAAACAATTTGTTATTGCTAGAATGGTAAACTTGTATTCCAACTTCTTTTAAAATCCTAACGATTTTATATGAAGCTGGGCCAATATATGGTAAACAGACAGAGGATAGATTCCGTGTCTTGCCTCTGTCTTTGCTGTTCATTCATAGCATGTTCTATGAATTTCTTAGGATAACCATTCATGTGCAGAACATCCTTCAAATGCTTTAACTCTGAGTCAATGCTATTTGAATCACAAATTGTTTTGGCACGGTTGATTAATGTTTTGCATACTGATCTTTTAATGCTAGGATGGTGAAATGAACTATAATTCAGATATCTGTCAGTGTGTGTTGGTTTTCTATAAACTTTATGGCCCAAAGTCCCGTTCTCTTTTACATCAAATAAGATATCTAAGAAGATATAGAGTTATCTTTCTGTATTTCTAATGTGAATTTAATTGAAGGGTGTATACTATTAATGTGATCTAAAAATTTATTCAAATTTTCTAAACCATGCGACCAACTACTTAATGTGTCATCTACATATCTAAACCAGAAACCAGGTTTTAAACATGCTGTAGCTATAGCTTTCTTTTCAAATTCTTCCATGAATAAATTAGCCTAACTGGTGAAAGGGACTACCCATAGGGAGCACCATGAGTTTGCTCGTAGTATTTCTCCCGCCACTGAAAACTAGTTGTATTCAGGCACAATTTCAGTAGTTCATATATACTCTCAGGAGAAAGGCTAGTCCTTTTAGAGAGGGTATCATCTGAAAGCAGCCTGTCTTTCGCAATGTTACACGCCTCATCTACTGGTACATTAGTAAATAAACTAACTACATCGAAACTGACAAGAATTTCATTTTTACCTAATCTAACATCTTGCATATTCTTAACAAATTCTTTAGAATTAACTACATGATGTTCAGTTTGACCAACAACTGGTTTTAAAATTCTAGCAAGATATTTAGCTAAATTATAAGTCGGTGAACCTTGGGATGCAACTATAGGCCTAAGAGGTACACCTGATTTATGTATTTTGGGTAAACCATAAAATTTTGGGCACACACTACATGAAGGTCTCAAATAATCATGAAGGTTTTGAGACAAAATACCTGATTTCCTAAGTTCAGATAGTTTAGAACATACTTTACGTTCAATATTGGCTGTAGGATCACGTTTTAGCTCTTTATATGTTGGAGTTTCAAGAAGAGCATGGATTTTACTTTCGTACTCTGCACGATTTAATAAAACCGTAGCATTACCCTTATCAGCCTTTAAAATATGTATAGACTTATCTGCCCTTAGGTTCCTCACTGCATCCTTCTGCTCCTTGGAAAGATTAGACTTGGGTAAAGTTGTACGTCGCAAGACCTCAGTTACTTTAACACGAATGTTGGATGCTATATCATCTCTGAGATGATTCAACTTTGGTTCCAGATGTTGAACGATTTCTTCTTTAGGAATCTTGTGTGGTACAACAGCGAAATTTAAACCCAATGCCAAGACTTCTTCTTCAACCGGCATAAGTTTTCGCGCACTTTGGTTAACAACAGTGCGTCTTAGAGTGTCAACAGCCAAATCTTCTTGTCTTCTTTTATCTTTTGATCTTTCGGACGTCAATCTTGTGTATTTGGCGATCTGTGTTGAGCGAGCTTTATTAAAGGTACGCGTAAAAGAAGCTATCATTCTTCTTTTTGCAACAGCAAAATGTTCTTCTTCAAAAGTTAACCAAAGTTCTTCTGTGAGTAGCGATGTTGTCATCCACTCCGCTTATTGTTTAGCGTCCAAGCAATTCTTTCTCGTAACAGTGCCAACTCGGCTTTCTTCAAGATTTTGCCTGCATGCTTAGTATGGAAACAATTAAACATACGCAAACCTTTCGGAACAACTTCGTTGTCTCGACACCTTTTCAGGAAGGTTAAGTTGTTGATTAATCTTGAGCGTTGTTGTGAAAGCCGGTCAAGTCGTTTAAATGATTTATGAAAATACTCTCCATAGAGTTCTGTAATAATTTTCTTGTATGATTGCATGGCGACTTTAGTAATTATAATAACTTGTAGGTACACCACGTAAGTATTAAATACTGCAAAGCTTTCGGTCCGTTAACCCGGACCTTCATCAGTGCAATTACTTGAATACACGTTTGCGCGTCACTTAAATATCATGTTAGTCGTGATTAGTTTGCTCGCGCTATTAATTAAACGGTTTCATTTAATTAAGTTCTAACTAATGCGCGCGCCCTAGACAAGTATTTGACTAAGAGACACCGAAAAGAGCACGCCACGTACTATTAAGTGGCTTTCCCTCTTGGACGATAGTTTGATGTTTATAAATTTCAATAGATTCTCTCATGATGCTCCTATGGGTAGTCCCTTATCACCAGTTATGGCTAATTTATTCATGGAAGAATTTGAAAAGAAAGCTATAGCTACAGCATGTTTAAAACCTGGTTTCTGGTTTAGATATGTAGATGACACATTAAGTAGTTGGTCGCATGGTTTAGAAAATTTGAATAAATTTTTAGATCACATTAATAGTATACACCCTTCAATTAAATTCACATTAGAAATACAGAAAGATAACTCTATATCTTTCTTAGATATCTTATTTGATGTAAAAGAGAACGGGACTTTGGGCCATAAAGTTTATAGAAAACCAACACACACTGACAGATATCTGAATTATAGTTCATTTCACCATCCTAGCATTAAAAGATCAGTATGCAAAACATTAATCAACCGTGCCAAAACAATTTGTGATTCAAATAGCATTGACTCAGAGTTAAAGCATTTGAAGGATGTTCTGCACATGAATGGTTATCCTAAGAAATTCATAGAACATGCTATGAATGAACAGCAAAGACAGAGGCAAGACACGGAATATCTATCCTCTGTCTGTTTACCATATATTGGCCCAGCTTCATATAAAATCGTTAGGATTTTAAAAGAAGTTGGAATACAAGTTTACCATTCTAGCAATAACAAATTGTTTCGCGCTCTTTACACACACAAGGATGGCGTCGATGAACAACAGAAACCTGGTGTGTACCGCATTCCATGTGAATGTGGTTTGGTTTACATTGGAGAGACCGGTAGAAATCTCTCAATACGTCTTAAAGAACATAAGACGAACTGCGAGAAAGGTAAACTGGATAAGTCTGCAGTAGCTCACCATGCATGGACTTATGATCATCGCATTAAATGGAACGATGCTACCATTTTAGCAAACGATAAGTTTACTGTCTCTCGTAAAATGAGAGAATCTATTGAAATTTATAAACATCAAACTATCGTCCAAGAGGGAAAGCCACTTAATAGTACGTGGCGTGCTCTTTTCGGTGTCTCTTAGTCAAATACTTGTCTAGGGCGCGCGCATTAGTTAGAACTTAATTAAATGAAACCGTTTAATTAATAGCGCGAGCAAACTAATCACGACTAACATGATATTTAAGTGACGCGCAAACGTGTATTCAAGTAATTGCACTGATGAAGGTCCGGGTTAACGGACCGAAAGCTTTGCAGTATTTAATACTTACGTGGTGTACCTACAAGTTATTATAATTACTAAAGTCGCCATGCAATCATACAAGAAAATTATTACAGAAACTCTATGGAGAGTATTTTCATAAATCATTTAAACGACTTGACCGGCTTTCACAACAACGCTCAAGATTAATCAACAACTTAACCTTCCTGAAAAGGTGTCGAGACAACGAAGTTGTTCCGAAAGGTTTGCGTATGTTTAATTGTTTCCATACTAAGCATGCAGGCAAAATCTTGAAGAAAGCCGAGTTGGCACTGTTACGAGAAAGAATTGCTTGGACGCGTAAACAACTAAGCGGAGTGGATGACAACATCGCTACTCTTACAGAAGAACTTTGGTTAACTTTTGAAGAAGAACATTTTGCTGTTGCAAAAAGAATGATAGATGCTTCTTTTACGCGTACCTTTAATAAAGCTCGCTCAACACAGATCGCCAAATACACAAGATTGACGTCCGAAAGATCAAAAGATAAAAGAAGACAAGAAGATTTGGCTGTTGACACTCTAAGACGCACTGTTGTTAACCAAAGTGCGCGAAAACTTATGCCGGTTGAAGAAGAAGTCTTGGCATTGGGTTTAAATTTCGCTGTTGTACCACACAAGATTCCTAAAGAAGAAATCGTTCAACATCTGGAACCAAAGTTGAATCATCTCAGAGATGATATAGCATCCAACATTCGTGTTAAAGTAACTGAGGTCTTGCGACGTACAACTTTACCCAAGTCTAATCTTTCCAAGGAGCAGAAGGATGCAGTGAGGAACCTAAGGGCAGATAAGTCTATACATATTTTAAAGGCTGATAAGGGTAATGCTACGGTTTTATTAAATCGTGCAGAGTACGAAAGTAAAATCCATGCTCTTCTTGAAACTCCAACATATAAAGAGCTAAAACGTGATCCTACAGCCAATATTGAACGTAAAGTATGTTCTAAACTATCTGAACTTAGGAAATCAGGTATTTTGTCTCAAAACCTTCATGATTATTTGAGACCTTCATGTAGTGTGTGCCCAAAATTTTATGGTTTACCCAAAATACATAAATCAGGTGTACCTCTTAGGCCTATAGTTGCATCCCAAGGTTCACCGACTTATAATTTAGCTAAATATCTTGCTAGAATTTTAAAACCAGTTGTTGGTCAAACTGAACATCATGTAGTTAATTCTAAAGAATTTGTTAAGAAATGCAAGATGTTAGATTAGGTAAAAATGAAATTCTTGTCAGTTTCGATGTAGTTAGTTTATTTACTAATGTACCAGTAGATGAGGCGTGTAACATTGCGAAAGACAGGCTGCTTTCAGATGATACCCTCTCTAAAAGGACTAGCCTTTCTCCTGAGAGTATATATGAACTACTGAAATTGTGCCTGAATACAACTAGTTTTCAGTGGCGGGAGAAATACTACGAGCAAACTCATGGTGCTCCTATGGGTAGTCCCTTATCACCAGTTATGGCTAATTTATTCATGGAAGAATTTGAAAAGAAAAGCTATAGCTACAGCATGTTTAAAAACCTGGTTCTGGTTTAGATATGTAGATGACACATTAAGAGTTGGTCGCATGGTTTAGAAAATTTGAATAAATTTTAGATCACATTAATAAGTATACACCCTTCAATTAAATTCACATTAGAAATACAGAAAGATAACTCTATATCTTTCTTAGATATCTTATTTGATGTAAAAGAGAACGGGACTTTGGGCCATAAAGTTTATAGAAAACCAACACACACTGACAGATATCTGAATTATAGTTCATTTCACCATCCTAGCATTAAAAGATCAGTATGCAAAACATTAATCAACCGTGCCAAAACAATTTGTGATTCAAATAGCATTGACTCAGAGTTAAAGCATTTGAAGGATGTTCTGCACATGAATGGTTATCCTAAGAAATTCATAGAACATGCTATGAATGAACAGCAAAGACAGAGGCAAGACACGGAATATCTATCCTCTGTCTGTTTACCATATATTGGCCCAGCTTCATATAAAATCGTTAGGATTTTAAAAGAAGTTGGAATACAAGTTTACCATTCTAGCAATAACAAATTGTTTCGCGCTCTTTACACACACAAGGATGGCGTCGATGAACAACAGAAACCTGGTGTGTACCGCATTCCATGTGAATGTGGTTTGGTTTACATTGGAGAGACCGGTAGAAATCTCTCAATACGTCTTAAAGAACATAAGACGAACTGCGAGAAAGGTAAACTGGATAAGTCTGCAGTAGCTCACCATGCATGGACTTATGATCATCGCATTAAATGGAACGATGCTACCATTTTAGCAAACGATAAGTTTACTGTCTCTCGTAAAATGAGAGAATCTATTGAAATTTATAAACATCAAACTATCGTCCAAGAGGGAAAGCCACTTAATAGTACGTGGCGTGCTCTTTTCGGTGTCTCTTAGTCAAATACTTGTCTAGGGCGCGCGCATTAGTTAGAACTTAATTAAATGAAACCGTTTAATTAATAGCGCGAGCAAACTAATCACGACTAACATGATATTTAAGTGACGCGCAAACGTGTATTCAAGTAATTGCACTGATGAAGGTCCGGGTTAACGGACCGAAAGCTTTGCAGTATTTAATACTTACGTGGTGTACCTACAAGTTATTATAATTACTAAAGTCGCCATGCAATCATACAAGAAAATTAATGTAATTCATTTTAAAATATTTAGTCTATTAGGGCGTAACTGCTATTCATTTGGTAGGATTTGTTTTTTATCTATTATGCAAAAAGTACATGCATTCAAATTTATATTTTTTTTCAGTGACAAGAATATACTTTTCATGGTTTATGGAAATGTGGTTTGCAAAAAAGCGTGGTCAGCAATATACTCTATAAGTGAGTAAAAATTCAGCAGATTGGTCCAGCATCATGTTAATGGTAATTTAACAATAGCAAGCCAAGAAAAGAAAAAAAGAAAGACAAAAACTTATATAGCGAAAGCCTGGATGAAAACATCATTTTCCAAGATGGGGGATAAAATGCCTGATAGCATAAGAATCCATTTGCCATGCTACCTCAATTACAGGATACTGTACAATTATATGGTGGAAGATCTAAAAGCAATGGGGGATGATCCAATTTGTTATTCCCAATTTTGCAAACTGTTGGAGACAGATTTCAAGGAAGTCACTATTCCTAAGGTGAGCTAAAAATTTTCATTTTTTAACTAATTACTTCAATTTATTTTTTTCCAAAGTGATTGATTGTTGTTTTTTGTAGGTTACAAGGCTAACAAAGTGTGACATATGTGTCATTCTAAAAGAGGAGAAGCAAAAGACCTTGGATAAAACAGAGAGAAATTACTATGATGTTCTTTACAACCAACATAATCAGCTTCAAAGGTAATTAAAACAGATTAGAGTGACTAGAACCACTTACTATATAATTTTAAACAAAAATTGATTGATTATTGCAACTGCTGCTAGCTGCCATACCTCTCGGCAGTGTGTTAGTACAGTAATTTATGTTTACCTCATATCACCCTTATAGGGAAGAGCGTGAGAAGTATTATAAACACCGTGCCAAAGCTAAATCAGATCCTAAAAAATATGCATGCATTATAATTGATGGAATGGATCAGATGAAACTAATGATCCCACAACTCCTTCATCAAATGAAAGCATATTCAAGTGCATGGAAGTTGAAAACACATCTTACCGGAGTATTGAATCATGGGCACGAAGCAATTGGTTATTTTGATTTACACCAATGGGCACATGATAGCAACTTAACAATCAATGTTTTGCTACGAGTTCTGCTAAGAATGGATAAAATACCAGACCGGCTTTACCTTCAGATGGATAATTGTTGGCGAGAAAACAAAAATCAGTATGTTATAACTTTCCTGGGGGTCTTAGTTAAATTGGAGATATTTAAAAAGGTATTTAAAAATACATATACATGTATATATCATAGCATTAGAATACTCTGCAGCAATAAACCTTAATATAACTGTGATACATTAATTATTCTTAGGTGAAAGTGAACTTTCTAATGAAAGGACACACCCATGAAGATTGTGATCAGCTGTTCAGCAGATTTGGAGTCAAACTCTCAACCAATGATGTTGTTACAGTTAAAGGTAATAAAGTTAATTTCTTCACAATGGATCTTACTAAGCTTAATAATTTTAAAAAATTATATTTATAGATTTAACACGAATATTTGAGGAGTCATACACACCACACCCAGTTGCTGAACTTTTAGAAACTATGTACAATGTACGAGATTGGCTGGCACCAGTTAATATGTCACTGCACAACATAAGCAACCCACATATATTTGTGATTACAAAGAATGGAACTGGCGATGTCGTTCTCAGATACAAGAATTGGAGTAGGGATACGAACTGGTTACCCAGTGATAATGCTGAAAAAGGGATCACAATTATCAAACATGTAAGAATATCAAAACTTACAGTTCTTTAGTTTCCTTCATCCATGAAATAAATGAGGCAGTAAATATAAATTGTCATTGCTTGACTTCAGTTCATCTATTAACGAACTGTTGTTTTTTATTAGAGGGTAGTTAGAGTGTAGTTAGAAGGTAACCGTGGCCTATATATCCACATTTCAGCTTTGACTTCACATACATTTGTTATAAGTGTTCGGAAATTCCAAACGAAGCTCCCGACTTCGCAACGTCCTCCGCGGATAACGTCGATATGGAGCGCTTGCGAAGGGACATTCCCAAATTTCTGGACAATTCTCGTGTGATTAAAGAGGAACACAAAGACTGGTGGGGCAATTTTTTCGAACAAGTTGACGTAGTTTACTGCAACATGGCAAAGGAGAAGCCAGTTACTTGGTTATTAGATGAATTACGGCTGTTAAAATCTGGCCATACTACAGGAACCCCCTCGACCGAGAATGCAGAAGAAAGTAGAGATACTCCAGTTGATCCCAGTGTCGTTTCGGAAGAGGTGGTAAAGTTGGTTAACGGTCAACTCGAAGATATCCCAGAGGTAAATAACGAAGATCTTTACAGTTGCAGCCTCGCACCTTTTTTGGAAAACATAAATATTGCATTCAGGTGCTATATACAGATCAATGGTAGAAACATCGTTTGCCATTGATCTCTTTATAGAGGCTGAACTACTGAATACTGATTGCACAAGTTTGATGTTTTCCAAATAAATATTTTAAAAAGTGTACAATTGTACAAACTACAAACCTCAGCAAGGTTCGAATTCTTAGCGAAGTAAACACCCAAAAACGGCTTCACATTCAATGAAACTGGTATCGATAGAAAGCTTACATAACACAGATTCCGAATATGTAATTTTTATCTTGGCCCAAATTCGTCGTCGAATCTTACAGCTCCTGAAACGCAGACGTCTGCCAGCCTGAGATTCGAAATCGCATGTAATGATGTACGTTAAATGCGCGTTGAAATACGAGCGAAGTAAACACCCAAAAACGGCTTCACATTCAATAAAACTGCTATGGATAGAAAGCTTACATAACACAGATTCCGAATATGTAATTTTTATCTTCGCCCAAATTCGTTGTCGAATCTTACAGCTCCTGAAACGCTGACGTCTGCCAGCCTGAGATTCGAAATCGCATGTAATGATGTACGTTAAATGCGCGTTGAAATACGAGCGAAGTAAACACCAAAAAACGGCTTCAAAATTTATGAAACTGCTATCGATAGAAAGCTTACATAACACAGATTCCGAATATGTAATTTTAATCTTGGCCCAAATTCGTCGTCGAATCTTACAGCTCCTGAAACGCTGACGTCTGCCAGCCTGATATTCGAAGTCGCATGTAATGATGTACGTTAAATGCGCGTTGAAATACGAGCGAAGTAAACACCCAAAAACGGCTTCACATTCAATGAAACTGGTATCGATAGAAAGCTTACATAACACAGATTCCGAATATGTAATTTTTATCTTGGCCCAAATTCGTCGTCGAATCTTACAGCTCCTGAAACGCAGACGTCTGCCAGCCTGAGATTCGAAATCGCATGTAATGATGTACGTTAAATGCGCGTTGAAATACGAGCGAAGTAAACACCCAAAAACGGCTTCACATTCAATGAAACTGCTATGGATAGAAAGCTTACATAACACAGATTCCGAATATGTAATTTTTATCTTGGCCCAAATTCGTTGTCGAATCTTACAGCTCCTGAAACGCTGACGTCTGCCAGCCTGAGATTCGAAATCGCATATAATGATGTATGTTAAATGCGCGTTGAAATACGAGCGAAGTAAACAATAAAAAACGGCTTCACATTCAATGAAACTGGTATCGATAGAAAGCTTAAATAACACAGATTCCGAATATGTAATTTTTATCCTGGCCCAAATTCGTCGTCGAATCTTACAGCTCCTGAAACGCAGACGTCTGCCAGCCTGATATTCGAAGTCGCATGTAATGATGTACGTTAAATGCGCGTTGAAATACGAGCGAAGTAAACACCCAAAAACGGCTTCACATTCAATGAAACTGGTATCGATAGAAAGCTTACATAACACAGATTCCGAATATGTAATTTTTATCTTGGCCCAAATTCGTCGTCGAATCTTACAGCTCCTGAAACGCAGACGTCTGCCAGCCTGAGATTCGAAATCGCATGTAATGATGTACGTTAAATGCGCGTTGAAATACGAGCGAAGTAAACACCAAAAAACGGCTTCAAAATTTATGAAACTGCTATCGATAGAAAGCTTACATAACACAGATTCCGAATATGAAATTTTTATCCTGGCCCAAATTCGTCGTCGAATGTTACAGCCAGGGGCGTAACTTGACCCTAAGCGTTGGGGGGGTGTGAAGCAAATTTGCCCTACCAAAGGGCGTGACCTGCAACAAATACGCGGAAAAGGGCGTGGCAACCAAATGCAATTATAGCTCTTTTTGATAGGCTGTGAGACAATTATATATTTATTACGCAAACCCGGCTGCATAAAACTGAAAGCGAGATTTTGATATATATTTCGGAAATTATTGAAATCACCATGGTTGGCGCCGAGAGAAAGATTTTCGAAAATTCGGTCCTCTAGATCGTCGGAAACAGCCTTCTCAGACTGGCAACTTTCTCTCGAATTGTAAGTCGCACCCACGCCTAATTTTCAAGACTTCCCGCACCCGAACTGATTTTCAAGAAGCGATATCTCCTGCAAATTAAGTTAACTGAAAAATCTCAAGATCTGCGCATTTGCAGTCTCTCTAACCAGCGAACCCCTATTTGGATCGATTTTACTAACTTACAATTCTTATAGCTGCATATAAATTTAAAGTTTCGTTAGTTTGTTTAGTATTCATATGGTTTTTTTTATCAATTTGGGCAAAAATTGTCCAGCCTGAACCCAGCGGTTTGCCCTGCAAATTCCCAACAAATTGCCCTACCAAAACACTGTTTTCAACAATTGGGGGGGTGTGACACCCCCCACACCCCCCCAACAGTTACGCCCCTGGTTACAGCTTCTAAAACGCAGACGTTTGCCAGCCTGACATTCGAAATCGCATATAATGATGCACGTTAAATGTCCGCGAAATACGAGCGAAGTAAACACCAAAAAACGGCTTCACATTTAACGAAACTGGTATCGATAAAAAGCTTATATAACACAGATTCCGAATATGTAATTTTTATCCTGGCCCAAATTCGTCGTCGAATCTTACAGCTCCTGAAACGCAGACGTCTTCCAGCCTGACATTCGAAATGTCCGTGAAATACGAGGGAAGTACGCACCCCAAAACGGGTTCACATGCAATAAAACCACCAGGGCTCTCACATCCTATTGTTTAGAAATCCTTAGACTAAGGACAAAAATTCCTCAGATTGAGTAAAATTTCCTTAAATCTCCGGGTTCCCAGATATGAAGCCTGAGACCTAGTGTAGTTTACTAAAAAGGCGGGAAAATTGTTTTGGCTTTATATTAGTTAAAACTCAAACAATTTCTTAAAAACCCTCAAACAATTCCTTAAAGTGTATATGCAAGGAAAAATGAAAAAATTAAAATTGTGAAATTCCGAAAGACTTTACTGCCCTTGACTCGGTAAAAATATTTTTTTGTTGTAAAAGCGTTGCTAAAGTCTTCAAAACGGCCTAAAACATACGAAAATTCCGCGTTTTTTCAATCGTAAACTGTTGAAAGACTGGTACCGAGAGTTTCGGACTTGTGACGTATGCAGTGTGACACACAATAAAGCTCGGCTATAAGAAAACAACAAAACATTACTGATCGCGAGACAGTGGCTTGTCTTTTTTGTTGCATTTGTACGAAATGTCGGATAACGAAAGCTTTGAATCACAGACAGATAGAGAACAGTCGACAGATAGCGAAGACGTTGCTGAACGCCTGAACAGTCGTCTGTTGTACAGCCCTATCGTCTGTTGTACAGCTGATTAGTGATAGGCGATTACGAGGGAGACCAAACAGTACCCTGCTAGCAGAGCATCGTTTACCTTCCTTATGGGGTATGGGGCGACGAGGGGCAAGGAAATTTTCCTTCAAACCTCGTCCCCCATACCCCATAAGAAAGGTAAACGATGCTCTGCTAGCAGGGTATTTTAAACGAAAACAAACACGCCAAAAGGTTGATGCGTATAACACGCAATCCACTTTGGCGCTTTATGCGGTTAAATATGACAGACGAACTGAGGTTCTTTGGCCTACGTATGGCATATATCAATTTTTCTCGCTCGTTTTGTCATAGTAAGAAACAGTATAAATCAAAACTATCTGGTTTCTATGTAAATGCCGTTATTGTACATGGCCTATCCACGCCTGTTGCAAAGCATATAAGATTTCATTAGTGATAAGGAATTAAATTTCTGTTTGTCTACTCTGTAAACGGCTAATTTTTTAGTATAAGTGCGTACCTATATTGGCACGGCAACCACGATTTGTGACTAAGGAATGAATTACGCGTAAACATGCAGGATACCAATACAGCACATCTAATCACCACAAATAGACGAAAACAGGACAGGTCAAAAGACTGAAACGTCAGACAAACGGGCTATAAATCTACCTAGGTTCACAATATAACATATAGTATAAAAAGTTTGTTGAATAAACGAAATGAAGTCCATCCGCTACGCCAATATTAATTACGGATTATAAATATAAAAACTGTTCAAGTAGATGCACAACGAAAATACCTACAGTTCAAATGTACTAGTTAGAAAGCTGGAATTTAGCGAAACGAAGTACAACTGCGCAGCGTCAATTTATACTAATATGCGGCAGCTTATAAAGCGACTAAAAAGTAAAAATTGATGTATTTTGATATGATTCTCTCCACTTGACCAATACACTGCATCTACAAGACGCATATTTCTTTGGGAGCTCATCAAATTGCAAAAATATTGCGATTTTACGTGGTAGACGGTGCAATGTTTATAGTTGTTTATAGTATTTCTAAATCAGGAAGAGCGCACTGTGTCACACCGCATACGTCATCACGACCTTTTGGCCGCGCGAGGAATTTCAACAGTTTTTATTTTCATAGCCCAACTTTAAACCTAAATTTTTCTTACTTCTAGTCCGAATTTGTCGACAATGTTGGTATCTTTATGATCGGAAAAGAACAAATTTTCAGAAAATACAAAAAACCTGAAATCGAAATTTAAAAAGGTGAAATAAGATCAAAATTTCCTTAGTTTAAGGAAATTTCCTTAAAAGTCAGAACGCTGGAAACCACAGGCAGCCGGTCACTGCTTTTACGTCATGCTTATATACGTAACAGCAGTGACCAGGCTGTCTGTGATGAAACTGGTATCGATAGAAAGCTTGCATTATTAAATATAAATAAAAAAAATAAGTAAATATAAAGCTTCGGTTAAATGTGTATCGTACTACGGTGGCCCATAGGGGACATGCTATAAATATAAATATAGGCCTTTAGAATTTTATATAATGCCTTCAGAATTTTATATGATACCTTCAGAATTTTATGTGATGCCTTCAGAATTCTATATGCATGATGCCTACAGAATTCTATATGTATGATGCCTTCAGAATTTTAGATGATGTCTTCAGAATTCTATATGATGCCTTCAAAATTCTATCTGTGTACAACGGCAAAACGTCGTTTATTACGTCCCATGTAGAACGTCTGCATTTCAGGACCCAGTGAGCGCTACCTCGAATTAGGCTCTATATAATTGTCCCTAAACGTGAACACAATGTTTTCAACGTCTTATATCTCATTAAATTGGTACAGTTGATAATATACAACAACGTTTTATCATAACATTTATTTAAAGAAGTATTCCAACCACGTCGTCGTCGTGTTGCCGTCCTACATGCTTAAGGTCCCTATAATATGCGGAATACGGAGTAAGGAGTGCGAATGCAGAGTATAGAGTAGAGCGAAGGATCAGAGTATTACAATATTTATGTAAGCGGTGGCAGCGCTACGGGGGTGTGTTGTTTGCCCCCCAGATCTTTTCATGTTACGTAAGTAGTGTAATACTCATTTAACTTTTAAATACTTTTCTACTCTTTCCCCCCAAAACATTTCTTTGACCCCCAATTGCCCCCCCCTCATTTTAGCCTGGCGCCGCCACTGTATGTAAGAACAAACAAGGGACGTTGCGAAAAGTGCAACCCAAGTCCTCCGGCAGGAATCGAACTATAGCTGAGGTGAGGTTAAGGGTATAGGGTTATATGACGTTTGAGAGATTTTGAATTGACAAAATTCTGCTGATTTATAGGGACTAGGCCATGAATTTGATGAATTTTGAATTAAAAAATAAAATTGCCATTTTTTAGATTCGCATAAATCCATATGCTGCCTTAATCTCAACGCATGCCAAATGTAACGATAGTCTCCAAGTCTCCCAGAGCCCTCCATCATTTATGCGATTTACATGAACATTTCACAACAATTTGGTTGAAGGAGAGTTTAACTGATGCAATCTGAATTTTTTTTCTGTTAAAGCAATCCACCATATTTGAAGGCTTTCGCAAAGATATGTTTTTTAAAAAGCGTGTAGCATTGTTAGAATAAAGTTGTAGAATTTTAGATTTGGGCACAAAGCTAAAAAATGGCAATTTTATTTTTTAATTCAAAATTCATCAAATTCATGGTCTAGTCCCTATAAATCAGCAGAATTTTGTCAATTCAAAATCTCTCAAACGTCATATAACCCTATACCCGTAACCTCACCTCAGCTATAGTTCGATTCCTGCCGGAGGACCTGGGTTGCACTTTTCGCAACGTCCCTTGTTTGTTCTTACATACAGTGGCCGCGCCAGGTTAAAATGAGTGGGGGGCAATTGGGGGTCAAAGAAATGTTTTGGGGGGAAAGAGTAGAAAAGTATTTAAAAGTTAAATGAGTATTACACTACTTACGTAACATGAAAAGATCTGGGGGGCAAACAACACCCCCCCGTAGCGCTGCCACCGCTTACATAAATATTGTAATACTCTGATCCTTCGCTCTACTCTATACTCTGCATTCGCACTCCTTACTCCGTATTCCGCATATTATAGGGACCTTAAGATTGTAAGACTGCAACACGACGACGACGTGGTTGGAATACTTCTTTAAATAAATGTTATGATAAAACGTTGTTGTATATTATCAACTGTACCAATTTAATGAGATATAAGACGTTGAAAACATTGTGTTCACGTTTAGGGACAATTCTATAGAGCCTAATTCGAGGTAGCGCTCACTGGGTCCTGAAATGCAGACGTTCTACATGGGACGTAATAAACGACGTTTTGCCGTTGTACACAGATAGAATTTTGAAGGCATCATATAGAATTCTGAAGACATTATCTAAAATTCTGAAGGCATCATGCATATAGAATTCTGAAGGCATCATGCATATAGAATTCTGAAGGCATCACATAAAATTCTGAAGGTATCATATAAAATTCTAAAGGCATATATTTATATTTATAGCATGTCCCCTATGGGCCACCGTAGTACGATACACATTTAACCGAAGCTTTATATTTACTTATTTTTTTTTATTTATATTTATTAATGCAAGCTTTCTATCGATACCAGTTTCATCACAGACAGCCCGGTCACTGCTGTTACCTATAAGCATGACGTAACAGCAGTGACCGGCTGCCTGTGGTTTGGTTTCATTGAATGTGAACCCGTTTTGGGGTGCGTACTTCGCTCGTATTTCACGGACATTTCTAATGTCAGTCTGGAAGACGTCTGCGTTTCAGGAGCTGTAACATTCGACGACAAATTTGGGCCAGGATAAAAATTACATATTCGGAATCTGTGTTATGTAAGCTTTCTATCGATAGCAGTTTCATTGAATGTGAAGCCGTTTTTGGGTGTTTACTTCGCTCGTATTTCAACGCGCATTTAACGTACATCATTACATGCGACTTCGAATATCAGGCTGGCAGACGTCTGCGTTTCAGGAGCTGTAAGATTCGACGACGAATTTGGGCCAAGATAAAAATTACATATTCGGAATCTGTGTTATGTAAGCTTTCTATCGATACCAGTTTCATTGAATGTGAAGCCGTTTTTGGGTGTTTACTTCGCTCGTATTTCAACGCGCATTTAACGTACATCATTACATGCGACTTCGAATATCAGGCTGGCAGACGTCTGCGTTTCAGGAGCTGTAAGATTCGACGACGAATTTGGGCCAGGATAAAAATTACATATTCGGAATCTGTGTTATTTAAGCTTTCTATCGATACCAGTTTCATTGAATGTGAAGCCGTTTTTTATTGTTTACTTCGCTCGTATTTCAACGCGCATTTAACGTACATCATTATATGCGATTTCGAATCTCAGGCTGGCAGACGTCAGCGTTTCAGGAGCTGTAAGATTCGACAACGAATTTGGGCCAAAATAAAAATTACATATTCGGAATCTGTGTTATGTAAGCTTTCTATCGATACCAGTTTCATTGAATGTGAAGCCGTTTTTGGGTGTTTACTTCGCTCGTATTTCAACGCGCATTTAACGTACATCATTACATGCGATTTCGAATCTCAGGCTGGCAGACGTCAGCGTTTCAGGAGCTGTAACTCCTGTAAGATTTGACGACGAATTTGGGCCAGGATAAAAATTACGTATTCGGAATCTGTGTTATGTAAGCTTTCTATCGATACCAGTTTCATAAATTGTGAAGCCGTTTTTTGTTTACTTCGCTCGTATTTCAACGCGCATTTAACGTACATCATTATATGCGATTTCGAATCTCAGGCTGGCAGACGTCAGCGTTTCAGGAGCTGTAAGATTCGACACGAATTTGGGCCAGGATAAAAATTACATATTCGGAATCTGTGTTATGTAAGCTTTCTATCGATAGCAGTTTCATAATTTTGAAGCCGTTTTTTGGGTGTTTACTTCGCTCGTATTTCAACGCGCATTTAACGTACATCATTACATGCGATTTCGAATCTCAGGCTGGCAGACGTCTGCGTTTCAGGAGCTGTAAGATTCGACGACGAATTTGGGCCAGGATAAAAATTACATATTCGGAATCTGTGTTATGTAAGCTTTCTATCGATACCAGTTTCATTGAATGTGAAGCCGTTTTTGGGTGTTTACTTCGCTCGTATTTCAACGCGCATTTAACGTACATCATTACATGCGATTTCGAATCTCAGGCTGGCAGACGTCAGCGTTTCAGGAGCTGTAAGATTCGACAACGAATTTGGGCCAAGATAAAAATTACATATTCGGAATCTGTGTTATGTAAGCTTTCTATCGATACCAGTTTCATTGATATACTGCCTGTTTTTAACTGCAAAAGAAAAAATAATATATTGTGTTTACGTATCGAATTTAGTGCGGATGAATATCGTGCTAGCTTCGCGTATGTTCGATTTTGTTGTTCTCGGAGGGAGAGCGAATCCTGTGGTGAATCCTGTGGTAGCTTCACACTAGTTCTTTTACTCCATTTTACTCAAAACATTAGCCATCACATAATGATTCAACGAATAATTTTACGCTAGGTTTATACCGGTGCATATCGAAAGCCAAGTGGTGCGACAGTCTCGAACATTTGGGACCACATTAAAGTTGAAGATTTTGTTGCTGTGTCCTTGGAAGGATACAACAATGTCCCCGTCATTGGGAAAGTTACGGGTATTAGCGAAATGCACGTTTCCATCCACTACTGGAAAGGCAGCTGGAATAAGAAATGGACTCCTTGGTTAACAAACACAAAGGAGCCTTGGGCAGATGTTCTACCAAAGGATTGTGTATATTTAGGAGCCTTTCATCTTGACGAAGAGTCCAAACTTCAAAGTGCGACGAAAAGACAGATGAGGGACTTTTTAAAGCAAGCAAAGTAATGAAACTGACTGAAATATTTATGAATATATTGTAAGTATTAAATATTATTATTTATATTATTACTATTAAAATATTTAATACTAAATAATATTATTTAATATTAAATATCAATATTATTTCAATATATTTATGCTGAAATAATAAAAATATATTGTTGAGGGCATTATTGTAAAAAGATGTGAACATTTGGTAAAGATAATTATTTATGTCCTAATTATAGCTAAAACAAATTGGTTTAATTTACATTTCAGTACTGCTTGGTTGTCGACATGTCGAAGATCACTAGCTTGGTTCTCGACATGTCGAAGACCACTAGCTTGGTTGTCGACATGTCGAAGATCACTTGCTTAGTTCTCGACATGTCGAAGACCACTTGCTTGGTTCTCCACATGTCGAAGATCACTAGCTTGGTTCTCGACATGTCGAAGACCACTTGCTTGGTTCTCAACATGTCAAAGACCACTAACTTGGTTCTCCACATGTCAAAGACCACTAACTTGGTTCTCCACATGTCAAAGACCACTAACTTGGTTCTCCACATCTCAAAGAACAATAGCTTGGTTCTCCACATGTCGAGGACCTGTGGCTTGATTTTCAACATGTAGAAGACAACTAGGTTTGTTCTCGACATGTCGAAGACCATTAGATTGGTTCTCCTTTAGCTTAGTACCATACTAATAACTAGATTCAGTGATTAAATAACCATTTATATACATTTTGTATATCAGTTCATAATCCACTGTATATATTAAAAATTGTGTCTTTTTGAATAAAAAAAAATACACCGTAATAGAACTATGGTTTCAATGATGGGGATCCCATGTTTTGGTAATTTTTGTCAACAACTCAATTTTTCTAAATTAATGGCACAAAATAAGATAGTTTTAGCATGAAAAAACTGCAATTTTTAACTTTCTGGACAAATATGATGAAAAGCTTAAGAAAAAGCCCAACTTTTAGCTTAATAGAATATCCCAACCCATCGTAGAACGTGTTTAAAAATAAAAAATAATAATAAATAATACTGTGGTTCTAGTTTTATTAGTGGGAACTGTTGAATAAAATTCGCTTAGCTACATTTTGTGTCCTAAACTAGTGTTAATGTTATATTTCTTTAAGTTAAACTAGTGCGGGACTATGATTTTTGATGCCACGGACAGGGACGAAAAACTTCAGAACAAATTCCCTAATTTTTGCGCCGGATTTGGCGAGGATAGGTTATGAGGATAGGTTTGCTTTTGTTTCTCGCCTTTCTCCTGCCCTGCATCGCTTGACTCTTTTGCCGCCTGCTAACTTTTTGCACCTCCAGGCATGTCTTCACATACAACATTATACTGTATATATATATATATATATATATATATATATATATATATATATATATATATATATATATATATATATTATATATATATATATATATATATATATATATATATATATATATATATATATATATATATATATATATATATATATATATATATATATATATTATAATCTATCTTACTATCGCAAGAAAATTGCTGCTTTAAAATCCCCGGTCAGGCCAAGAATTAAATGCAGCATGCGGAATTTTCTGAATTGGTTGTTTATATAATCTTGGTTAGCCAGGACTAGATTCACAGTGAAGTTAGATTATTCTTATGTATTGATCCCTGAAAGACGCAAAAACATCATGTAAAATTGCAAAGTAATCTGAGTTCTCATGGGTTTGGGAATCTGGGTATACTTCATTGTTAAATGTAGTGACGTACAATGGCAAAATAGAAATATTAGATACTTGACAAATCAGATATTCAATATTTCAATGAGTCATGGCATGGTAAAAGTCATATGAGCTCAACAATCGACTAGCGAGATCGACATTTTGAAATCTATTTCGACTAAACTATTATGGCTCATTTTTCTATTGTGATCTCATTTTCTGATAATGATTTTAGTTTAAGCTTGTCTTGTATTTTCTCACAGTATTCATTTTTGAAAGATCGTTATTTAATTTGTGGAACTAGATGTTTGAAATGCTCTAATACTTCAAAAGCGCTATATATACGCTCAAAAATACAAAAAATAGTCATTTCGACTAACAAGATTGACATTTTGAAATGTATTTTAACTAAACTGTTGTGATCTCATTTCACTGATAATGATTTTAGCTTATTAAGCTTGTCGCAAATGGAGCTAGTTGACAGTTCCCCAAGATCAAGTGTTGCGGTGGCGTTTTGCGCGTTGTCGCCGAATATACAGGGTGTCTAAAAAAACGCAAAAACAATAATAGGCTTAGAATTCGAATACCCAAGAAAAAGCTCGACGCAATAGCAAGTAAAATTTTGACAGGATATACATGCAATTAAAAATAAGTTAAGAAATTCGTATTGAATATTGTGCTATTTTCCATCCATTGGGAATGTGTTAGATTATTGCTGATGTGAATTCATTATTCATTACGTGCAATAATATTTTTTGAACTGAAATGTAATTGCACTGCACATAACCTGTGAAAATTCAACATGCAACTGCTCGTAGTTTGTCTTGGGTATTCAATTGTAACAATCGTCAAGGCTATTGTTTGCGTCTTTTGGGACACCCTGTAGTATTGAATACCCACAGTCCATACTTTATTTGTTTACCGTAAAAGTCAGATGAGCTGAACAATAATGGACTAACGAGATCAACATTTTGCGTATCCAATATTCAATAACATTTACAATATTCGTTTGCTTGAATATGTTCAATACCCGCGTATACTTACTTGTTTTCTATGAATTAGCTAAGTCATAAGAACCATATACTGATATAGGCGATAAATTCATAAAAGCACCGCGCTAGAAATTAATCGCCTCGATGTATATGTATCTATATAAGAGCGGTAAAAATATAACCTTGTGCTGAAAATGTCTATCTTCTGTTCCGATCCTGCGTTACTGCGTATACAATTACGTGATTAAAGGCCGAGACACACCGGACGCGAATCGACAACTCGACGCGAATTTTTACTTTTCAAAAGCTGATAAAACACTCAATGAAAGAAGATTTTAAAAAATATGTCAAGCAAATAATTTAAAATGTTATAGCGCATCTAAATATATGCAAAATTTAAACCAGGATCAAAGTTATCGGTCGGCGAGAATCGTAAAATCGCGTCGCGTTGTCAAATCGCGTCCGGTCTGTCTGGACATTACAGTACCCATTCGCTTATAATCAATATTTGTCATATAAGAACCATATAGGCTATAGCGGATAAACTAAAGAAAGCACCGCTTTAGATTGAGATGAGAACATTGCCATGAGAACCATGTAGCCGATAAACAAATGAAGGACTCCTTTAAGATTGAACAATGAACGTTTATGCATCGCCTTCATGTATATGTATCTGTCCCTGCTGCATATCCCATTTGTCTGGTACCTACAATATTCGTTCGCTTGCATATATTCATGCCCCATATACTTATTTGTTTTCTGTGAATTAAGTCATAAAAACCATATACTGAGTAGGCGATAAATTCATAAAAGCACCGCTCTAGATTGACAATAAAAATTCATCGCCTTGATGTATATGTATCTGTCTAAGTGCGGGAAGAAATATAATTATCCTTGTTCCAAAAATGTCTATCTTCTGTTCCAATCCTGCGTATACAATTACGTGATTAACAATATCCATTCGCTTGGGTATATGAGCTATAATATATTCAATATGTGGCATATAAGAACCATATAAGCTATAGCCGATAAACTAGGTTACCTGCAAGGTAGGGATTGCTGCGGGCATTAAAAACAAATTAAACCAAATATCATATAAGAACACGATTGGCAAAACTGTACAATTGTTAAAAAAATATTACAAAAGCGTTGAAATTTGTGAAATATGTGTCACACGATCACGTCGCAACTAATTTAACACAAAGCGCGAATTGAGGTGAAATTTTTCTTGCAACTTGGAATTCTGCGTGTAATCAGTGATGTTAATGAAGATATGCCATATGGATTGGAAAAACATCAACGCAAAACACGTACTTTGGCATTTTACATTTCTCAAGAGTAGAGCTCTCCAGCAAATTTTTTTTCACTCCCCGACACAGCTAACCCAAGCCAAATATAAATGCCTAACCCTAACCCTAACCCTAACACCTTGACGCCACGCTATCTTAACATAACGCTTAATATAAATCAGCATACTCGTAAAATTAAATGCCTGCGGGCAGTAGATTATAGTAAAATTGCGTGACTCAAGGAAGATCAAGGCACAATTGATTGTTAGTTAGGTTACTCGTAGTGTGCGTTTTATTTTGGTATTCTGAACTGGTCAAATGATTTACCACGAACAGATTTAGACTTAATTCATAGTGTATTCGATAGTTTTACTTCTATTCATATAGTCGCATGTTTTTATGATACTGCGCGAACAATTTAGCATTGTGTTACTATTAAGTACTAGATATTTTTGCATTGCCACGTCATTTAGTTCGAACCGATTTCCACGATTAACGAGTGTCAATTCACGTGTATCAAACCCACGAACGTTTGGATTAAAGTTATAATATTTTACTTGTTCGATTCCCAAATTCTGTCGAGTTCGATTTGTCTGCGCACCGTTCAACCCAAGTGTTATCTCATTGGTTATTGCTAAGAGTTAATCGTTTCGTAATTAACAAATAATTTACCATAACACTGACTATACAGGGTGTATCAAAAAAAACGCAACACTTAATATTCATGAATATCCTCTTTGTTCTACAACACAAAAGACGTTTGGCCCCTGGAATGCGGGAAAGCTTGTAATCATATTCTAGCGGCACAATCGTTGGTAAACAAAGTCGGGTGCGTAAACCAACGAGCTGAATTGAAAGTATTTAACGAGTAAAATTTTATTTACAATTTATCTTACAAGGTCGACAGTTAGCATTCAAGTTATCATGCACGACAATAAAAACTCGTTGTTCGGTTGTTAGCTGCACCGTTATTAGTTTAGCTGATTTGACCATTAGCAGTTGAACTGTACGATTAGAAGCCATTTTAAAATCCCAGGGGCATAAAATCTATTGAGCTTATAAACAATATGAATTTTAGAATATTAAGTGGTTGCGTTTTTTTTGATAGACCCTGTAGATGAGTAACTTAACTTCCAGAAAAAGGTAAGAATCTTGTCGTATTCAGTTTGCAAATTTTTCACAAAAATATGAGGGTAAACTTTGATTCTTTAATATATACGACCGTTGCGACTTGCTATGACTGCAGTGTTTCCACGTGCTGAAAAATATTTCCATACTTTTCTCAATTTCTATATCTCAAATACCATGTACCCACGAAAACCCATACCAAACCCCCCAACCCATGCGGGCTTTTCTTAACTCTCGCAACATTCCCGCGTGTTTGGATCAGGCCATCCAAACACGGAAACCATTAAGTAATTGTTAATTGCCAATTTTTTTAACATCTCATAAAATTAATGAAGTGAAAAAAGGAAGAGGAAATTAGAGGATGACTGTTTCAAATAAAATATTTAATATTCCAAAAACAAGAGGTTTTAAAATGACAAAGCTAATGTTGGTTGTCTAATAAAAAAATCTTGATGAAATCCGTTTATTGTTATATGTTAAGAAATTATGTTTACTGGCACTCAATGCCTTGATCCCAGTATCCTTGATGAGTTAGTACTCCTTCATGACTACGATTTAATTCGTGCTGA